TATGGCTGGGTTAAGTTCTGACCATTCCCTGCTTAGCACAGGAATGCTGAACTCTCACGAAATTATGAAAAGATCTGAGCACTGCTACCATTCTTAATATAAAGTGCCAATGTGTCTGTAACTTTACAGCAGTTTACAATTTCCTTCTCAACAGAAAAACGTTCACATGCTTAACGAATGCGTAAAGACAAACACAAGCAAAATGATTTCCCAGTATTAGAGAGTGGCCCAATAACATGATAGCCAAAAACTCACTAACTGTCACTGCACACATTATTTACCCACTTACAATGTGAAAGCATTTGACAGGAGAGCAATTCTCTTTTCAGAGCTTTCATTAATTACGACGATCTCTACGTCACTACCTTGGCTGCACGTCATGGTGGATGTGTTTTGAGCGGTGACAAATTCAAGGACATACTCGCACAATCTACTTATAGGTCTTATAAGTTTGCTTGAGTATGGCTATTTGAAAATGACTGTTACAGTGAATTTCATCATGTGATTCTTCATCGCACACTAGATATAAAATTTCGTTTTCTTCCACACGAAATCGTGCATCATGGAGCAGATGTCTTCTACAAAGCTCTTCCTGAACTTTTCATTTGTGAGTTTGATGCATCAGAATCAATCTTATTTGTAATTTCCAGACGAGGATGTGTCGATAAGAGCAAAGCTCATTGCTCAAAAAATCTTTGCTAGTCCCGAAGATTCAGAATATTCAAAAGTTCGTTCCAGTTCGATCATTTGAAAAAAATCTTTATTGCTCGTTGAAGGTGTTACTACGACGGGAATCGTGGAATGAAGAGCGTAAAAACGAGAGAATCGGTGCTATTGACGATATGCTTGCTGAATTATGCGAAAGAAACGCAATCCGTCCACTTGCATTAGAAAGTCTTCCTGGCTATCAGTTGCAAATGGTATGTAAACTATGTCATACAGCGCAGAAACAATGTAAGAACGATTTTTCAGGAACCTTTCGAGGAACTCGATGATGAATTGGGTAATATTTTTGAAGAAGAACACCCGTATAGTGTCAGCATATCAAGTACGTTTTTACCAAAATGTGATTATAACTAA